GAGAAAGAGGGGAACAGGAATCCAAAGTGGACTCTGCGCTGATGGCAACAAGCCCTTGATGCAGGGCTCGAACCCACGAACCCTGAGATCATGACCTGAGCCGAAGTCGGATGCTCAACTGACTGAGCCACCCAGGTGCCCCAAATTTAGACAAGTTTTCTAAGAAACCTAGGCTAAGACTATCAAACAGATTAAGCTCTCCGATTGTAATCCTATTAAAGACAAATAGCAAACAATAGTTTTTTTTTTTAATGTTTTTTATTTATTTCTAGGAGAGAGAGAGGGAGACAGCGTGAGCAGGGGAGGGTCAGAGAGAGGGAGTCACAGACTGAAACAGGCTCCAGGCTCTGAGCTGGCAGTCAGCACAGAGCCCGACGCGGGGCTCGAACCCACGAACCGCGAGATCACGACCCGAGCGAAAGTCGGACGCTTAACCAACTACGCCACCCGGGCGCCCCACAAACAATAGTTTTTAAAATATAAAATACATATGTTAGAAAGACTTCTAGGGGCGCCTGGGTGGCTTAGTCGGTTAAGCGTCCGACTTTCGCTCGGGTCGTGATCTCGCGGTTCGTGGGTTCGAGCCCCGCGTCGGGCTCTGTGCTGACTGCCAGCTCAGAGCCTGGAGCCTGTTTCAGTCTGTGACTCCCTCTCTCTGACCCTCCCCTGCTCACGCTGTCTCCCTCTCTCTCTCCTAGAAATAAATAAAAAACATTAAAAAAAAAAAAGACTTCTAAATAATTCATAGGTCAAAAAAGAAAAGTTGCCTGAAAATAGAGTATTAACGAAAAATATATAATTTGTCATTTACATACACAGACATATAGATGTGTGTATATACTCAGAATATTCTAGGGGGACATTCAGCAGCTAACCTTGAAGTGCCTGTGGCTCTTTCCCAACCTGAATGTGTGCAGAGATGAACCTACTTGTGCATTCTACAGTCAGAGCAGAAGTGATTCCATTGGGGAGGCCAAGGGAGAATCAGGAAATTATACTGTGGCTAACAGAGACTCTCATGGCAGACTCTCCCCACCTCTGGAAGGGAGGATGTGGAAAGGAGATTGCTGAGTACAGACACCACAGAACAGGAAGTCGAAAGAAGCTATAAGATGGCTTTGCAGCAAAGAGAAAAGAATCTGGACTTTAGAGGCAGGCACACCCAAAGCTCCATGGGGGGGGGGGGGGGGTTGTGTCCATTATGAATGGACTACATAGTTCTTAATAAAGCTGAAGGGTTCAAGGAAAGAGACAAAATTCCCTTTTCAATCCCCAGCCTCCCTCCTTGGAGGCAACCACTGACCTCAGATGCGTATCTTTCCAGACTCTGTATCTTCCAGATATTTAACATCTCTGGGTCTCCATTTTCTCATCTGTAAAATGGGGCTGATAACTCTGGAGCCTCCCTCATAGGGTTGCCATGAGGGTTCAATAACCAGATCCATGAACGGTACTCCGAGAAGGTCCTGGTCCAGCCGGTGCTCCGTGTACGTCAGTGATGATCATGTCATTATTGCTTACAGACTTCTGTAAATGGCTTGTTCTACAAACGCGCTTGGTAGCTCTGCTACCCAAGAGTTACATCTTCGAGAAGTTGTTCCTTTTTTTTCTTTTTAACTTCTCAGTGCCTGGCTTCTATCACGGGTGAAACGGGGATAGTGGTGCTTGCCTTCCAGGAATACGTGGACACTTCCACATGCTGTGGGAAGGGCACTTGGGACCCTAGGGATTTGATCCGTATTTGCCTTTGTCATTACTATACAGGGTCGGGGTCTCTCTAGCTTGCTCCCAGAGGCCTCCATACTGTTTAGAGCGAGAGGAGAACGAGGGGCAGGACAAACCCCTGCTTTTCTGATCCTCCAGCAGGCAGTTTCCAGGCTGAGAACCAGGTGTGGGCCAGGGACCCACACCTGTAGCTTTAACTAGTACTTCTCGAACGCACGCACAAATCACCTGGGAAAGCAAATTCTGCTTCAGTAGGTTTGAGGTGGGGCCTGAACTCCTTTCTAACAAGACTGGTGAGTTTCTTGCTGCTGATCTGCAGACCGTACTTTAAGTGCCCCTCCCACGGTCCACCTGAAAGCCATCTCCAGACGCTCTGCCTGGCAATGTCAAGGGCTCGGACGACTGATCTCACAGTCCATTCTGGCCTCAAGGGGCTGCCTTCCCTCTGAGCAGACGAGACAGATGGTTGGAAACCCCCAGGCCTCTGCAGATCCCATCCCTTCAAGGAAAGGGAGGGGGGGGGAAATCTAGATTTCCCCCAGAAACAGACAGAGCCCTTGCTCTCATGGTCTTCACATCCTAGTTAGAGAAGATACATGACAAGCAAATAAGTAGATGTCTGCTAGAGATAAATGCTTTGAAATAAAATCAAGTGGGATAAGAAACAGTACCTGAGCTGGTGGGAGGTGCGATTGTAGATACGACGGCCAGAAAAATCTTCTCTAAGGAGAAGACATTTGAGCAGAGGCCTGACTGAAATAGGAGAAGGACTCCTGGGGGGGAAGGGAGCATTCTAGCAGAAGAACAGCATGTGCAAAGGTCCTGAGACAAGGGGATCTGATGTTTGAGGCACAGAAATGAGAACAATGAGGCTATGAGTCAGCAGGAGAGTGTTGGAAAAAGAAGACATCAAAGAGGCGACAGGGGCAGAATAGAGCCTTCCCAGCAATTGTGAGTGGGTAAAATATACTGGAAAGTTCTGAGCAAAAGAATCACATCTAATTTTCTGTGATCTTTTAAGACGTCCTTTACATACAATAAAAGTCGTCATTTTTAGTGTAGAGGTCTGCCAATATTAACAACCGTGTACAAATAAGCAATCACAGCCCCATCACCCCCCAAAAGCCTCGCTCCCTCTCTGGAGCCTTCCCCACGCCCACCTAATCTGCTTCTGTCCCTACAGTTTCCTTTTCCCAGGATGGCATAGAAATGCAACAGCACAGCAAAGATTTTCTTGAGTCTGAATTCTTTCACTTAAGCATAATGCATTAGAGAGTCACCCCCATTGGCACGCGGAACTTTTTACTACTGACGAGCACACCACAGTATGCGTCGACGACGGTTCGTCCATCCATTCACCAGCTGAAGGACATTTAGGTTGTTTCCTTTTTTTGGCGATGACAGATAAAGCTACAAACATCTGTGTAGAGGTTTTTATGCCACCAGGAGTTTTCACGAATGTCTTCTGACAAAGATGGAGAGTAAATTCCCTCTCCCCTCTGAAACAACTCGAAAGCTGGGGAAGCAATGCACAGCATGGCTTTCAGACATAGGACACGAGGCAGCACAGGACAGTGAGCCCTGAGAGAGGAGAAGCAGAGGGGGGGACCCGGGCAGGGCCTGGCAACCTCCGGGAATCAAGGAGATGGGGGTACGAGGCAAGTAGGGCTCACCTTGCAAAGTCCCGGAGCAGAGAGAGCTTCGCAGGGAGAACTCTGGAGACCCACACAGGGGCCCCTGGAGGTCTTTGGCTTCTACTGGAGACATGCGTGTGAGGACACCACCTGAGGCCAAGGAAGAGCCACCGGAGAGGGGTGGCGAGAATGATCCCTGGCGCTCACACCAGCCCAGAATAGGAACATTGCACCAACTGGCATGGGGAGACTTTGTAGTTCATGGGAGATCGGAAAGTCATTGAAAGGCTACTGCCTCAGGAGTGGGGCGATATCACCCCAAAATGAAAAGCTGCCCTGTCAGCCCCACGGTCCTCACCCCCTGCCTTTCTGGTGGTTCCTGCCCCGGCTTCACGTGGTCTCCTCCCACACGCCACCATCAGCATCAGCTGAAGACCCGGGAGGGCCCTGGGCAGGTGAATTCTAATTGCCTTTACCTTCCAGTTTCTCGGCGCCTCTCATCAACTCAGAAAGATTGATGCCAGGCTTAGCCGAGATTCCCCTCCCTGCACGGCAGCCTGGAAAGCCTCTCCAGGCTGTCAGCTTGGCCAAAAGTAGGGCCACCTCCCTGGTTTGTCCCTCTCAGGAATCGCTGTCCCCCAATCCCTCTTGTCCTACATCTGAAAACCACCGTATCCTAAACTCTTTCCTGTTTTGTAGCTGTTTGAGGTTCGAAGGTACATGGTCCCCAAGTCTCTGTCATGTCTGGAAGCACAGATGACATCATCTCAATTTGCTCTGAAAGGACCGCTCAAGAGAGCAGACTGAGGACAAGTATGGGCAGAAGGAAGAAGACCAATGAGGAAGGTACTTAGTCATCCAATGGTGGCCAAGTCCAGGATTGCCCAGGTAGCTGCGGCGACAGTCATTGAGTTCAGGATGTGTTTTGAACAAAGAGCTGATGAGATGTGCTGATACAAAGGTTTCAGGCGTGAGAAAAAAATACGAAGCCATAGTAGACTCTACTCTTTGGGGCTCTAACACACTCATACGTACCCCCACTTCCTTCCCAGCCTGGCCTCATGCCTAGCAGAAACTCCTCTGAAAACCACCGTGGCAGAAACTCCTCTAAAGTCAGGGATGCTTGGGTCATCCATGTTCAGATCATTTAAGACTGACAACCTGAAATGTGCATGGGTAGAGGAGCTGGCCGGTAATAAAAGCTGGCCGGTAATAAAACTGAAACCCAACTCCCAAAACGCCAAAAATGGAAGCCCCGAGCCGTTTCTATTAAACATAATCTTTATTTCATCCAAGGCAAAGCTAAATAAAATTCTACAATGCCAAACGTGGTATAAAGGCAAGAGAGTTGACTGCATCCACCATTCTGTGCTTGAACCCAAGTCCTTGCTGGGTGTGTGCAAATCTGCGTCTCCCGGACCCATTGGCTGCACTGTTTTGGTCTATAGTTATATTTTTAAAAATCGACTATGGGTATTGTCATCCAAGGCAGAGGAATAAACCATGCATAAGATAGTCCAAAGCTCTGAATATCAGGTGGGAGGGGAGGGACTCCAACCTGGGGCAGAGGACAGTGAAGGAAGCTGTAGGATTGTCTCAGAAGTTCCCCTCCCTGCCCCCCACCCCCGCCCCCCACCCCCACCCCCACCCCCAGCACAGTGGAGGGAGTCGTGGAGTTAAGGAGCCCTGGAGCGCCTCTCATCCTTTCTCAGCCTCCGGGTGGCCCAACAGGTACAGCCCAGGCCAGGAAAGAGGCCCCCCCACACGTGCAGAGTCGCCCCCCATCTCAGGCACACTCAGCCTTTAGATCCACACATCCACGCTTCCGTGCGCAGCCCCCCCACCTCCACTCCACGGGCACGCCCTCACTGCCACCACCTGGGAAGCACGCTGTCACACCCCTCGCCTCACACCCCAGCTCTGGTGGGCCAGGCGGCGGGGAAGACCCCGCTAGCCTTCCAGTTCATTCTGGCGGCCTTTTGCTCAATCCCTACCCAGGGAGAAACCCAAGGCCTAGAATGCTGTCCTAGTTTGAGCCCAAGGACGGGGAACTGGAAAAGACTCCCGTGTTCCGTCTCGCTGACTTTACTGTGGGCACAGCCATGTGCCTCCGGGCCTCCCAACGCCAACTCTGGGGCAGAACATTCTCTGTTTGCAGGGACAAAGTTGAGCATTCTTAGTCCCCACTCGCTCAAGGCCCATAGTGCCCCGAGGCACCGGAGCAGCCCGAAGTGTCCCCTCCGCCAGGTCCCATTCTACTACCTCTATTGAAAACTCCCAAGCAGAAGCCGTGGATAAGAAGCTTCAAGCATCAGGGCCAAGGTTTCTAATATTGCAAAGACTAAAATAATTCCAAGGGGGAGGAGTGGGAAGAGAGAGCAAGCGTGGGTGACAAAGAGAAAGTGCACGCGTGCGGGTCTGCGTCTGTCTCGTGGAGAAGGGACAGAGGTGAGGACAGGACAGACTTAGAACGCGTCCTCCACGACAATGCCTGGCTCCTAGGTCCCCGTCCAAGCCAAAAAGATTTTTATAAACAAAAACCCGTCAAGCCTCACAGCAGTCCTGGGAGGTAGGTAAGTATTATTACACCCACTTTATAGATGGGAAAAGCTGAGCCCCGAGCAGATGCGTGACCCACCTATCAGTAGACCCAGGAGCGGAGAGGGTGACGCCCTCCCCCCATGGCGCCCCTGCTCTGTAAGCCTCGACCTCCTCGGAAGAGAGTAAGAGGAGCCCAAACGATTCAGCTCGTTCCAATGAAACCGGGGAGGGAAAGAAAGCAGTTTTCATGGCGATAGCTACAAGTTTTCCAAAAGGCTGGCAGTCTGTCTGTCTGTTCCAAAGCCACGAAAATCTGAGCCCGAGCCTAGAGTGCTGGGGGAACAGGGGTGGGAGCCCCGGAGGCAGATCAGAGTGGGACCCTGTAAACCTGGCAGGTGCGGTGAGGCCCACGGGTCCCCGCCAGGCACCGTGCGGGAGCTGCCGTTCTTCAGTCTCCCCCACGTCCACCCTGGGGGAAGCCCCGGAGGATCCTGTGGCCGTCCCCTAACCCCTGGGAAAGGGCACTACTCCCTTCGTACCCCTCCCAGGCCCAGAGGACAGAGTGCCAGAGAGGGAGCCAGCAAGAGCAGATGCAGGGGGCTCCCTTCATCCCTCCCACCCCACGGGGACACCACCCGCTGAACTCCATCAGGGGCCAAGACAGTTCCGAGATCCCATCACTGTCCAAGGGGCCATTGGTGCCTGCCCCCCAGCATGGCCTCGGGTGGAGGCAGGCCGGGGAGCCCTCGCAGCGCCCACCGGAGGTGGCCGTCACGTCCAGGCTGGAGAGGGGATGGAGGGGAAGAGCCAGGGCCTGAGGAGCTAAGGCACAGTCCAGCCCCGCACACAGGGGTGTGCCAACCAGTTCTTAGAAAAGCCGAGGAAGACTGTGAGAACTCTCTCCCTGCCCCTCCCCCACCCTCAGGGTGTGGGGGAGGAGGGGCGTGGCACAGCTGAACAGGAAGCAGCCAGAACACCCAAGGGCCCTCTCTTCCAAAGCAAGAGGATCCCTGAGATGAAAGCAAGCCCCAGACCCCAGGTTGGGGGTGAACAACCAAGGGGCCAGGGGAGAAGGTGTGATGGACGGGCACAGGCATGGGTGGAGTGAGCCCATGGTGGGGGGGGGGGGGTCTGAGAGTGCAACACATCAAGCAAGACGATGCCACCTGCCTCATCAGGGAAAGAGGAGCGGAGGAGAGGCAAGCTCGGCAGTTCCCAGGGGCGGCAATGGTCCCGCCATGCCGAGGCGCAGGGGCGGCCAGCGCTGGTTGGGCCGGGGTGGGCATCCCAGTGGCCAAGGGGTCCCCGGACACCAGCTCGCCCACCTCGCAGTTCTGGTTCCCCAAGGAAATGCTAGGGAAGGCTTAGGCAGCGCCCCCGGTGTTCTGGGAAGGCTGCAGGGCCCCCCTCGGGAGCCCCTCAGCAACTCAGAGATCAGAGGAGTGGGCTAGGTGGGCCGGGAACCCCCCAAAACCAAGGTGGCCAGCCCCAGCCGGGAGGGTTCACAGACTCCAAGCAGCAGGGGGGGGCCAGTGGGGGGAGGTGGAGATGAGGCGGGGGCTGTGGCATACCCTGTAAAGGGGAGGAAGGGAAGCGCCTCACCAGAGAAACCTGGTGGATCAGGTACCCATCCCCCACCCAGGCTCCTTCCCCTACCCCCCTCCGGACCCTGAACAGAGGCCCGTAGGCCACAGCCACCACCAAAAGGGTCAGATCTCCATGTTATGTTCACTTGGGTCCAGCTACCAGGGGACGCCTCACTGAACCCCCACCCCCCAAGCCTCTCTGAAAGAGAAATCTAGACGAAAACCAAGGTATTGCTCATACAGGGTGAGGGGACTGAAGAAGACCCCACACACCCAGGTGTTGGGAGACCCTCCTTCCACGCCGCTGAGTCCCCTTTCCTTTCCCGAACTTTCCACAGGCCCCCTCCCCTGGCCAGCTCTCCTCCCTGGGGAGCCCGGGCTGGGAGGGGGCAGGCGGGCTGGCCAGGACCCCGGTTTCTCCCCAGATAGACTACAGCTGGAGCCAAGCAGCAGGTGTCTCAGGCACGTGGGTTCACGGGCGCGGCTCAAGCATCAGTTCCGTCATCAGAAAGTGAGGCCCCGGCGGCCGCTCCGCCCCCAGCAAGGGCTCACACTTTGGTCGGTGCTTTCTCTTCCGCCTTCGAGCCAGGCAGCCCGTTCTCTGTGTTGTCATTCCCTGAGGAACTCACGAGGCACTCCTTCCTGGGGAGGGAGAGAGCAGGAGAGGGTGAGGCGGTGAGGGCGCGAGCAAGAGTAAGGGGGCAGCTGTGGAGAGGAGCCGTGGGCCCCGCCACCCCCCCAGACCCCCTCTCTCTGACCTTCTGTAGAGCAAAAGTGGCAAGGGGTCAAGTCACCTAAGCTCTCTGGGCCTCAGTTTCCTCATCTATAAAACGGACACAATGATGACACCTTCTTTGTGGCGGTGCTGTGAGGCCTCGGCGTGCAGATCGAACAGCGCCTGGCACGCAGAGAGGACCCAGTAGGGCTCACCATCGCCTAGTCGTCCCTACACGGCAGAAGGCAAGAAAGTGCCAGGCGCTGTTCCCAGGGGTCGGTGCTCAGGGGAAACCAAGCCAGGTTAATTCCCCGGCTGGGGAGCCCAGGGGAAGGGTCCAGGCCAGCAGGCAGCGTGAGCTCCTCCCCAGGCCCCCGAACGCCCTTCAAAGCTCCCTGAGCCGCCTGTGGCCAGAGGTCTTCCAGGCCTCATGGAAGAGGCGGAGAGACAGAGCAGGGCCTCGAGGGTGGCGGGTGAGGCACAGTGTGGGGGCGGGGAGGCGGCAGAAGACACCCCTAGGAGCACCACCACCCTGACTGCCCACAGCTGGTCACACTCCAGTGTCACAATGTCCCCACCTCAAAACAAAAACATGTTTTATTTATTTTTTTAAAAGTGTTTTTTATTTATTTCTAGGAGAGAGAGAGAGAGACAGCGTGAGCAGGGGAGGGTCAGAGAGAGAGGGAGTCACAGACTGAAACAGGCTCCAGGCTCCGAGCTGGCAGTCAGCACAGAGCCCGACGCGGGGCTCGAACCCACGAACCGCGAGATCGTGACCTAAGCGAAAGTCGGACGCTTCACCGACTAAGCCACCCAGGCGCCCCGACAAAAACATTTTTTAAAGGGGCGCCTGGGCAGCTCAGTCGGTGAAGCGTCCGACTTCGGCTCAGGTCATGATCTCACGGTTCGTGGGTTCGAGCCCCGCGTCGGGCTCTGTGCTGACAGCCAGCTCGGAGCCTGGAGCCTGTCTTCGGATTCTGTGTCTCCCTCTCTCTCTGACCCTCCCCTGCTCACGCTGTCTCTCTCTCTCAAAAATAAATAAACATTAAAAATTTTTTAAAAAGAAAAAAAGAATGTCCCACCTCCATGGCAGGCCCAGGCCGCTTACAGCTCTCCAGGGGAGGCCTGACAGCGACCGCACCCCGAGCTCTCTGCCTGTGAATGTTCTGAGCCTTTTTCATGGCTGCTGTGGCTACAGAATATCTTAGCCTCCCCCCAGAAGGCTCTGAGGACTTCGGGAAGGACTATTTCGTCCTTGTCAACTCTGCAAAATTTACTCCATAGCTCCAGCCTATTGAGCTCCTCCTAGATCCCGATTCTGCTGACAGTCACTGGGTTCCTGGAAATTTGGTATTTTTCTTGGTGTAACTCAAACTTTGGTAACATTGAATAAGCAGAGCCCGGGGGCACACCACTAAAGACCTCTATTCAGATGGATCTATCTATCTATCTACTTATCAATCAATCAGCTATCAGCTATCTATCAGCTATCAATAATCTATCATCTATCTATGTATCTACTTATCTCAATACCTAAGGTAGAGTCAATCCAGACACTTACAATCTACCTAATTGTACTCCCAAGCACTCCCGATTTCTCTGCTGAGAATCTACTCGGTACTAAGCACTGTGTCAGACTGGAAGGCACTGTGTGCCTGCTCTCAGAAAATGTGCAGTCTTCCAGAGAATGTGACATTGAACACATGACCTCATACACTGATAGGAGGAAGGCTATGCCAAGGAGGGACCCCGCCTCCAGGAAGCCTCCTTCTAGGGAGCAGGGAGGGCTCTTCGGACATGTCCCAGACGCTGAGCCCAACAAAGATGAGCAGGAAGAGAGGGAGGGGTCACTCTAGGCAAAGAGACCGCACCTCTGAGCAGAAGCCCAGAATGATCCTGGGATGCTGTCCAACACCTCCCTTCTGCTCAGGAAGCCACCCCATCTCTGCTGTTAAGGCAGACTTTCCTCGCGCTCAGAGGGCCCCTCGCAGGCTTCCCCAGGGTCTGGCTCCCACCTGTAGCCCCCCACCACCCAGTCCCTGTGCTCACCAAGACTAGACCCTTTCCTCTAAAGCCCTCTGATCATGCCAGGCCCTGAGAGCTCTCACCATCTCCACTGCAGCCAGAAGGAAGACAGGATCTCAACCTGGACTCCAGGCCCCTGGGGGGGTCTCCCCCCAGGCCCCTCTGCAGCCTTTTTCTCTCCTTCCCCCCAGACCACACCCCCCACTCTCCCAACAAACAAAACTCCCTGTTCTTCAGACACATCCCTCTTTCCAGACTCTCTGCTTCTGCTCTCAGCAGTTCTGGAACTTCTCCTGACCCTCCCCGGGGCTTACATTATAGCCATCTTGCAAGTCCTACCACAAATGTCCCTTTGGCCGGAAATCCTCCCCTCGTATTCCACCCTCTCCTGAACCCTTAAAGCATTCTCTTGCAGCTTTGTGCTCACACCCATGCTCTCCACCTTGTCTTACATTCATTTGTATACACGGCCTGGCTTCCTTAGGGAAGGGCAGAATCTCCTTCTTTCCAGGACTTCCTTCAGGACCTGGCATGGTGCCTTGCACACAATACCTCAAAAACAGCCACCAAATGGAGACTGAATGAATGAACCCTAGATATACTCCCTGAATCCGTAGGGTGTGGTGAAACGGTTAAAACTTGGAAGTCAAACAAGGCAGGGTGCCAATCTCAGGTCTATCGCCTCCTAATTGTGTGGCCCTGGGCAAGCCATGTAACCACTCTGAGCCCCACCTTGCTCAACCATAAAATAAAAATTATGGCTATTATATAAATACCTAACACATGGTAGGCAGTCGGTGAATGACAAGAAGTGTTATTATCTGTAGCAACCTCCTGATTCACCAGTGCCCTAGCAAGAAAACATTCAGTCCGCCTCGTCCTCAAGGCACCCAGAGTGGCTCCCCAGAATCAGTTTTCTTTTCTAAGTGCTTTTATTTTTTTTTTATTTTTATTTTTTTAAATATTTTTTTTTTTTTATTTCTAGGAGAGAGAGAGACAGCGTGAGCAGGGGAGGGTCAGAGAGAGAGGGAGACACAGACTCCGAAACAGGCTCCAGGCTCTGAGCTGGCAGTCAGCACAGAGCCCGACGCGGGGCTCGAACCCACGAACCGCGAGATCATGACCTGAGCGAAAGTCGGACGCTTCACCGACTGAGCCACCCGGGCGCCCCTCTAAGTGCTTTTAAATCATACATTGAATAATCCGTTCTCCAACTTTGCTAACCATCAATAGCAAAAGTGCTTAGTAAAAACAGAATTTGGTCCAACCCCATCCTCCGGGTCCCTCTCCAAACTCTCGCAAACCCTGGCCACGAAGCAGGGAGACGATCCAAGAATTCTGCATCCCAGCCGGTGCTGGAGACGGTGCCCAGAGCCCCCAACGCTGTTCCCTTAATGTCCCCCCTGCCTTCAGCTTCCCTCCCATCTTGCCAGTTCAATTTCTGCCCCTTCCAGCCTAACTCCCTCTTCTCAACAGAGCGGAACGATGCAGAGAGAAACAGAGCAGTTCTGGGGCGCCTGGGTGGCTCAGTCGGTTAAGCATCCAACTTCGGCTCAGATCACCTTCGAGAGTCTGAGCCCCACATTCCAAATGCCTTTTTACACTCCCCTCCTGCGGCTCTAGAGCCTGGCACTGTTGGGGGCAATTCTCTACCCTCCCCTCTGTCTTAAACTTAAACCTGAGCCCCCCCCCCCGCCCCCTCCCTGGGCTTCTGGCGAGGCCCTATCAGCCTTTGTAGATTGTGGTCTTCCCCGTGTGACCTTCCAGAATTTCCCTAGAAGGGTCTTCCCATTTGAGAGCTTCTGTACATGGAGTCTTGCATTTTCTGTGATTTAAAACAAGGCATAAAGAACAAGGCACCCTCCCTCCTCAGGTGGGACCCAGGCTGGGGAGAGCAAATGGGAAGAAAGGAGCTAAGAGCATGGACAGGAAGACAGCAAGATGAGGAGGCGCACGTGGGTTGTATTCATGCGCTCAGGGAACTCAATAAATGCCTCCAGGGGGGAGGGGAAGAGGGGCTGGGAGACGGGAGGAGGGGTGCAGGGAGGGGACGGAGGGGCAGGAGTGGGAAGCCAGGACAGGGTGAGGGGACACAGGGAAGGATGAAGATGGCCGCGGAAGGAGACAATGCTGGGAACACGCACGAGAGAAGACGGGACTGGGTGGCCCGCCCGTGGCGGGGGCAGGAGCGTGCAGTGGCGTCAACTCACTTTTTCTCCTGAGTCTTCTTGATGATGAAGGCGACGAACTTCTTGATCAGCAGGATGCAGATGAGGAGCCCGATGACCCCGCCCACGACGCCCAAGATGATGAGGGTCACCGTGTTGTCCACTTCTTCCACTGCACAGCCAGAGCAGGGAGACGAGGGGTGGGCGAGGGGAGCGGGTGTCACCCCGTGGCTACAGCCCTCCAACCCCCGCCCGCGGCCCTCCCCAGGCCTTGCAGCAGAAGCTGGAACATGACGGCCATGAAGCATCAGGCTAAGGCACCACATGAAGACGGCCCTTCCCCGACCCCCTCCGCACACACAGGCTCTCACAGACACACACACCATTCTGGAATAATCCAGACTCGGGGCCACAGCGGTTTTGGCCCCCAAACTGCCACACAGAATTTCCTTGCTTCTTTCTGGGCCTCTTCTGTCCATGCAGGAAAAATTAAGTACCTCCCTGTAACAACTTCTGTGTGGCAGGGAGACATCGGGGTCAGGTCATCTGGATTTTAACTACAGGATTTCGACAGTCACTAACCAAAGCCGGTGACTGGAGCTGGTCACTTAACCCTTCTACCTCGGTTGCCTCATCTGAACTCCTGACATCTGGAGCCCCCTCTACTCACTGTCTCCCCACCTCTGTGGAGAAAACTCCACCCTTTCAGCTGTTTTGACCAAAATGCTCGGACTCATCCTTGACCCTTCCCTTCTCCAAACCCCATATCCAATTCCCCCGAGAATCCTAACAGCCCTAACTTAAAAATTCCACTATCTGACCACTCAGTGCCACACTGGCCTGAGACATCCTGGCCTGGATGTTGGCAGGAGCCTCCTAACCAGCCTCCTTACTTCATCATCTATTCTTGGCCCCGCAGAGAGCTCATTCTGGGTTAACTCTTCTGCTCAGTGCTCTTTAGTGGCTCCCATGTCTCTTCGACTTGTAAGGCCCCACACAATATGGCTTAATCTGACTCATTTCTATTTGCCCTGCTCTAGGGGCACCTGGCTGGCTTAGTCAGTAAAACTATTTGCCTTGCTCCAGCCACAGTGGCCTCTTTATTTTTTTTTTCCAGGACAGTAGTCTCTTTGATGTTCAAGTATCTGCCTCAGGGCCTTTGCACTTGCTGTTCCCTCTGCCTAGACTATCTTCCCAAAGATATCCTCATCACTCCTTCAAATGTCCTTCTCTGTGTTGCCTTTTTGGTGAGGCTTTCCCCCAGTGACCCTGCTAGCATCCCCTCTTTCCTTCCCCATTTTGCTTCTTCTCCACAACACCAGCCGTGTTCTCTTCGACGACATCATTTTCTTCTTTATTTTGTTTGCTACATATCTCCCCTGACTGGAAGGAAATCTCCAGAAGGGCAGGACTTTGTCTACTGTGTTCAGGCTGTATCTTCAGCCCCTAAAACAATGTCTACCCCACGGTAGGTACTCAATAACTATCTGTCTAATAGATGAATGAAGGCATCCGTAAAAATGGAGAAAAGATCCCTTCAAAGGGATGTGCAAGGAGCAAAGGAGCGAAGGTAAGAGACAGCGCCTAACTCGGGGTCCGGCACCCAGAAACACTCCATGAATGTTACTTCCCTTCCTCTCCTCTTCCCTCCTGAAAAGGCTGAGCACGAGGTGTCTGACATCCAGACAGAGAAGAAGAGGTGATGCCATACATAGCCTTGACTCAGACAGCTCCAGGCTCACGGCGAGCTGCCTGGATGGCCTCTGGCTCTGCCCTTGGCACAGCCGGCAGTGAACCCATGGGCATCTCTCTCTCCAGGCACCCCCACGTCACCCAGGAGAGCAGTGAACCCCCAGGCACACAAGAAATGCAACAGGATCCTGGATCAGTTTCGCCTCCTGTTTTCTCTACTTCGGTGCCTCCTTAGCCCTCCAGACTCCCCATCCATGAAGCCCAGCCTAATACCTCTGGCCCCTTCTCTAAGCACCTTAGCATCTGGGGTCACGTGACCACCTGGCTCCTCATCACCGGCTTCCTCACCGTTCAATTGTTCCATCTGGAGGGGAGCGATCATTCTTACCAACCTCAGTTGCCTGTGACTCTCCATGCTTCACCCCTATTTCAGTTCTCCGTGTACCTGTCCTCTGTCCTACCCTGAACCACAAATTCCTCAAGAAAGAACACTACGGATCATCCATGGCCCTTCTGGTTGGATACCTGGCATTCGATCAATAGTTGCTAAGGGAAAACACAAGAATAGTAATAATCAGCACACCCAGAGAACTTCCCCACCAGAAAAACATTCCTATCTCGCGTCTCTATTTCTCACGGGCACCCTAGGAGAATGCTGATGTTACAGATGAGGAAAACAGACTCAGAGGAGCCACGTATGTATCACTTATTCAGCGGCAGAATGAAATGCTCCTGCTAAGTGATTTGAGCTTCTAGATGTGACTCCAGTAACTTTTGAGAGCACAAAACAAAACACCAATGGACACCAATGGGCTCCATTTTGCCATTTCACTGTAACACTGAACGGGGTACCCCTTGTCCCAGCCCCTACTGCTTACGTTTATCAACGACTTGGAGGGTGATGGTGGCCTGGTGATGAATATTATTCTCCTTGGGGTTCTTCACATAACAGGTGTATTTGCCTGTATCGCTGAATTCCAGGTTCCTCAGCAGAATGGAAATGTTGTTCATCTTCTCCTTCGTGGAGCCCTCCAGAGTGATGCGATCATCATCTTTTGACTTCACCTTGGGGTCAGACTTCTCATTCTTCACCGTCCCCTCTATGAGCTATGGGGGGAGGGGTGGGGAAGACACAGCCCAGAAAGAATCAGGGTCCTCAAGAGTCACGACATCACTTCAAGCCCATCCCTGGGGTGCCTCCCTGTCCAGTCCAGAAAGCCTGCGGCCAGAGACGCTCCCCCGGCTTGGTTTCCTTCCAATATCGATGACTCTGCCTATCTAACCTGAATTTTGCTTGCTTCAAGCTAAACCCATTTTCTGTCATTAAAATCTCCCTGGAACATAGCACAGCTTTTACCGCTTTCTTCTTAAAAGCCTTTTGCATAATGACTCTGGCAAATCCCACACTCATTTCCCTCTGTCACCAACACCCCCCCCAGTCTTTGCTGACACCCCCGTCCCCTGTCCATGTGAACTCTGGCCCTCCATCAAGACCTGGATCAATCCCAACCCTATGGCACCGTCCATCAACAGCCTCTGAGTTCGGGGTTTAATTACATCCAGAGTTGGTCTCTTGTGGGTTCCTTCCTGCATAAACCTTGGGTCTCCTACTGGACCACCCAGTGAGTACCCCCTAAGCCCTCATTGACTGATCCATCCCCACCCCCAGCCACAGCCCACCCAGATACTCCTGGAGAGCTTCCTCCTCCCTCCCTTAGGGACAGCTCGCCTGCCCTTCTCCCGTGTGGCATCTTCTCATAGCCTCTCTCCTAGCCTTCCAAAGCTCTTTCTGTCTCCTGACTGTAAAAGTATTTTCACACAAGCAATCCAAGTTTCAGATATTTCTTCAGACCCAGACAAAGAACTCAAGCCAAGAATTCCAACACCCCCCCCCCAAATTCTGTAAGCACAATCTAAGCATCCCTCCCACTTAGATCCTTCTGGAAGCTCAGGAAAGAATGCTAGGGGAAAGGATGGCAGAAGGTGGATTCTGGGGACCATGACGGGGAGGTCAGTCCAGAAGGGACCAGACCAAAGGAAAGGGAGGCAGGGGTAAGGCGACAGGGATCTGAGCTCTCCCCTCCCCTCCCCCACTACTCACAGTCCTGAATGTATCAGTGCTGTTGTACCACCACCAGAAGTGGAGGTCCTGGAAGCCAAAGCAGGTGGAGAAGGTGCAGGGCAGCAAGATCTCCGTGCCATTGACGGCGTAGATGGTGGTGGCTTTTCCCACGGACACCTCCAGCGACATGGACACCGGGAGCAGGAAGAGACCTGTGTGACAGACACCACCCCTTAATAAAACCCCAGGAATTCAGCCTGGGGCTCTGGAGGAGTGGCTTGGCCAGGCGGGGAGGTCTCTGTCACCCTCAGGATCAACTTCGGAGGACTGTTCTCATTACTCCAGTTAGCACTTGCCTGAGCCTCCGGCCCTCATTCATTTTTCCCGCCTGGCCTGGGCCGGCGAGCTGCCCTGGTGGCACACGGAATGACCACCAGAGGTCACCCCAGCCCAAGAAAAAGGCCCTTGCCACGGGTCTGCGCCCCGCAAGCTACGGGGCAGTCCCTAAAAGTGCTAACCTGCACCCCCGCAGGCAGGTGCCAGGCGGGCTTGGCCTATCTGCGATGGGAATGGCCCCTAGGATGGTGTGCAGGCCCCTTGTTACATTTCCCGGACTGCGGGGGAGGGGGGGCAGACGCCGGGCCGGGGATGGAGCAAGGTCCCACGTGGGGAAGAAGAGAAAATGGGCGAAGGCAGTCCCGGACACTGCACAGCGGCCTCTCATCCCAAGTCCTGGACGCTCGCAGCGGCCCCAAGGGGCAGAGACTGTGCCTGCCCGGCCGGGTCCCATGCCCCGGGGACACTGGCGGACCCTGAACACAGGAGGAAGCTTGCCTGGGTGGGCCAGGACTGACGCCACGCGGCCGCCCAGGACACGGGGGGGTGGGGGAGGGGCGTGGGAGAGAAAGGAGGGCGTGGAAGACCCCACCGGAGGCGGAGTCCAGGTGACAGGGATGCACGGGAGCCTGGCAGTGTGGAGGTAGCCCAACCGCTGTCCCCTCTCGGTCCAGAGTAGCCCGCCTGCCCCCCACACCCCAGGGTCCCCACTCGACTCTCGACTGGTTCTGAGAATGTTCCTTGAGCGCCCCCAGCCTCTTTCCCCCAACCGGCACCCACTGCCCAGGACATCAGTACCACCCACCACCCCTGCCGCTTGGGTGCGGAACCTTCAGTCTCCACTCAGCCTCTGGGCCCCACCTCTGAGTCCTTGTAAGGGGCCCTGGCCCTCCTCCTGTCCTACGGAGTCCTTTGAGGGGACCCCGTGATAGCGGTCGTGGGGAGGGGGGGCATCAGAATAAGATGCCTCCCTGTCCTTGCCCCTAGGTGAACGGGGCTCCTGGGGTGGCCCTGAGTGAGGTCTCAGAGAGGGTCCCACTAATCCCCAGAAAAGTGACCCTTTCCTGGGCCCAGAGCCCTGCTGGTGCACTGGAAACCCGAACCCGGGTCTGACTCCCCAGCTAGTGGGCAGGAGCAGGCAGCCATGTGGCTGCACCATCTCCTGTCCCGAAGTTTTCCTGATGTTTCTTCCCAGACTGCAGCTCCTCTCCGCTCCTGGACCCCCAGCCTGGCGTTCCCAAGGCGCCCGAGCTCCAGGCCCAGGCTGATCCATCACTGCACCTGCGCGTCTCAGAGACGGGCCAACAGGGTCCCTCGTGGGAAGAGACTCGGCTGCGCTGACTGGGCGTATTGGCCGGGACTCCTGAGAGCGGTGCACCTCAGCCCAGGTCCGCTCTGCAGGCGGTCCGCAGATGCCGCTGTCGCCAAGACAGCCAGGGCCGGTCCTGGTCCTAGAGGTCACCAGTCTCGCTCTTTGTCCCATCCTCACTCCCAGGGACCTCTTCTGTCTACCGTGGTTCCTTTAGGGTCCCTAACCAGTTTCCCCCTCGCTTTGCGCACCGGAGGCAATGATGCGTGGCGGCACCTAAGCACCGCTTTTTAAATGAGAGCAAAGGGCTCCACTCAGCTTCTTCACGTCCCCTCAGCTTCTGAAGGCAACGTGGGGTGCTCTCACCTCGAAGGTCAGAAGGGACACACGGTGGTCCAGGAACCCATCATGACCCCTGCCAGTGTCGATAATAGCCGATATTTACTGAGCACTACTACGGGCCAGGCACTCTGGATCTACACCATCCCATGAGTGACGTACTATTGTAAGTTCATATTATAGATGAGATAGTTAAGCACAGAGAGGTTAAGTGACTTGCCTTAAGGCCAATAAGAAACGTTTCTAGCATCCAAAGCCCCAAAGCAAGAAACTCCTTACATCCTAGTATAGAAGCTTTTGCCCACCAAGGTTCCCATGAGTATTGACAAGGTAGCCCTCCTTCTTCCATCAGCTCTTCTGTGCCAGGAATTAGTCTAGAGCAGTGGCTTTCAACTTGAGAGAGCGTCAGGGTCACTTGGAGGACAGTTATGGATGGTTTGGCCCCACCTCTGGAGTTTATGATCCAGTACTCCCAGAGCCTACTGGAAATTAGAAATTTGCATTTCTAGGGGAGCCTGTGTGGTTCAGTCAGTTAAGCTTCTGACTCTGATTTTGGCACAGGCCATGACCTCATGGTTCATAGGTTTGAGCCTCGTGTTGGGCTCTGCAATGAGTACAGAGCCTGCTTGCGATTCTCTCTCTCTCTCTCTCTCTCTCTCTCTCTCTGCCCCTTCTCTGCATGTTCTCTCTCTATCTCAAAAATAAGTAAACTTAAAAAAAAAAGAAATTTGCATTTCTAGGGGCGCCTGGGTGGCTCAGTCTGTTAAGCGTCCAACTCTTGATTTCAGCTCAGGTCATGATCTCACGGTTCGTGAGTTCAAGCCACAGCATCAGGCTCTGTGCTGACAGCATGGAGCCTGGTTGGGATTCTCTCTCTCCCTCTCTCTCTCTCTGCCCCTCCCATGTGCACACACGCTCTCTCTCCCTAAAAATGAATAAACATTTAATAAAAAAGGAATTTGCATTTCTTCATGTTCCCAGGGAATGCTTTGATCAGTGACAACACTTTGAAAACCACTGGGCTAGAGGATTTATCCATATTAACACCAGCTTTTATTAGAACACCAAAAGATTGGTATAATTTTTCTCATTTTACAGATGGTAAAACCGAGGCTCAGAAAGGTTACGTAACTTGCCCAGGGCCACATAATAACTGGTGAATCTGGGACTGAGCACAGGGCATTTTATATACTCTGTCTCATTTAATCCTCATACTAATTCTATGAGGTAGTTATTATTTTTATCCTCAATATACAAAACGAAAGAAACGGACTAAAAGAAATCACTTGCTCAAGGCCACACACCCGGTGAGTGAAATAGGCAGTGTTCACACTCTCAAGGCTAGCTCCTGGCTTCCTTTGTCCCTCTTCCCCTGTCCTGTAGAACACCTCCCCTAGAGGTCTGGGGATAGGCGCCAGACAGGAATAAGCGTCCAACTTCAGCTCAGCTCATGATCTCCCGGTTCATGAGTTCGAGCCCCACGTTGGGCTCTGTTGCTGACAGCTCAGAGCCTGGAGCCTGCTTCGGATTATGTCTCTCTCTCTGCCCCTCTCCCACTCGTGCTCTCTCCCTCTCTCTCAAATGTAAATAAAGATTAAAAAAATTTTTTAAAGATGCCCCTTCTGTAGGCAACCTGAGCACTGCTTCTGCCCCTCATTGCTCCCCCAAACTAAGGAAAGGAGTACAGAATTATGATGGGGAAGCCTTCAGGAGAAGCTTCCTAATAACCACAGACCTCCCTCGGCGCCCAAGCTCCAAGGACACCCATAGAGCTTGTCCACAGGTTCACTGGCACCTCTGCCCAGGAACCTGGATCCTGGGGCAGATGGAGGAATTCAAGTCAAGGGTCACATCCCCTCCCCAAGCCCCAGCAGCATGGGATAGATATCCAACAGCACCCAAAGCACACATCGAAAGTAAAATCTTTCCGACTCCTTTAAATAGGTAGAAGCAAAAGAAGAGTCCAGACCAGAGGACAGGCTATTTCTTTAAGGTCTGGCTCATGACAATGCATATTTCTGCCTGATTAGCACGAGCCTATGTGGATGACTTAACTCTAAGACACTGAGGACTCCCCCAGTGAAGCATTATCATTCCCAGCATAGCTCTGGAGGGGACAAAGGAAAGGCAGAGAGGCTTCCACAGAAAAGTCCAAAGCCTTGCCCAAGTTAAGGCATCAGTTAAGGCAAGCCTGGACTCTGGGCAGCAGTCTGGGAGTCCCGCCCGCTACTTCTGGAGGCTTGTGCATAGGAAAGCCTAGGGGCCTGCCTCCCACACTCTCTCCTTGGCGAGGTTCTGCTGGGGGGGACGGGAGGGAGCGAGGGCAGGTGTTGATCCACTAGGGGCCCCCGGAAGAGGGCTTCAGTGGGATGCCCAAGGCAGGAGTGGACTGGTCAGCTGGTGCAAAGCAGGCCCCACTCTGCCTGCTGACCTTGAGAAAGTCAGAGATGCCACATCCCACATGCACACCCCAACCCAGGGACGCCCGTCTTTCCCACCTCCTGGGCCTGGTATAAAGCCAAAACGTGAGCTCACAAAGCCCAGAAGGGCTCTAGTGAGGCCACCCCTCTGACCTAAGGGGTAGGGGAGGATGATGTTTGAAAGGAGGGAGGGGGATGGGGCTTGCCCCCATCACAGGTCTGGACAGGCAGCCGGGGCTCAATGACCAGTGTCAGCGGAAAATGCCTCCAGGCCATTCACACAGTCTTTTGTACTTGCACCCTGGACCACCTCATGGAGGTAATTATGTACATGTGGCCATTTCCCTGGAGTAAAGAAGTTGCTTAGAATTTCAACTGTGTGTGCCTGGGTGTATTTGGATCAGGGACCTCTTTCTGGCATGAGGGGTTGATGAACACGTTCTCATCCCGTGGAATTCCACCCTGAGCCCCACAGCTTTGCCTCTGCTCACTGAAAGGCCCTGACCCCCCACCCCCCACCAGCAACTCTCAGAGCATCCATTTTCTTTGCCCTTCTGTGAAGCCTTCTGCCCCTCCACTCTCTTCTGGGTGCCACCGGTATCGTCTGAGGAAAACTCTTCACACCAGCAGGAATCTTATGGCCACCATCAAACATTCCAAGGGAAATAAATGCCAAGGCAGGAAATGGTCTGCCACTTCTCCCCAAATCCAAGGATCTGGTGACCACGGCGGGGGGGGGGGGGGACACGCGTGTGTCCACGTGTGCGCGCGCGCACACACACACACACCGCACCGGAAGAGAGGGAGCAAAGCGAGGCAAGGTGGCATGGACTCTAAGTTTAGCTCCAAGGGCCTGCCTGGCAGCATGGCTGATACGCTCCGGTCCCGGGGGAGCCAGACAGAGACAGGCTCCAAGTCAGAGCTGAGAGGCAGAAAGTGGGCCCAGGCAGCAGGGCACGACCCCTCCTGGGGGGCAGGCCCTGGGGGCTGTGGGAGGCAGGGCTGGGCCAACCAAGGCCCCTGGACCCAGAGACAAAGGAAAGATTTCAGCTCCCTCTCCCTAGGCAACCTGCCTACTTCCTGCCCGCCCCCAGGAGCCCTGCTGAGACAGAGGCATGGCCCCCAGAGACCAAGGGATGTTCAGCAAAACCAGCTTTGCCAACAAGTCCAAACAGCGAGCCTGGCCTCCTACTGCAGGCCAGGGAATGGGTGCGTTGGCTTGGCCAGCCTATGGCTTATGCAGAGATCTCTACACTCTCAGCAAGAGGTGGGAGCATCTGGACCCAGGGTCTACCTTGCACACTGATTCTAGCACCAGGGCGGGGGGGGGGGGGGGGGGGAGGAGCTTTGGGACACCCCCATGAGCCCACATCTCCAGAAACAAAAAGCCATCACCCAATCCAGCTCAAAACCTAACACGCCTCTCCACTCCTCCCCTCTTTCCGCCCTCTTCTCCGAGAACTCCTTCCGTTACCCTTTCCTTTCCTTTTCTCTGAGGCGGTCTGAGCACCCTCTCCTTAATTGTGTTCTCATTAAACAAGCCCTTAATAAATACATACCAAGGGAAAGAGGGTTGTGCAACATAGCACCCTCACAAGTGGTAATTAAACACAGATCACAGCAATTAAGCAAATCAGGGAACAAGGAAGGGGTGGGCAGGACAGACATATTACCAGTTACAAGCTCAGGAAGGGGCTGGCACCCACATAAGCCTCAGCCGCAGTGATACAACCTTGGAAACTGCTTCTCTGTTTAAGAGGGGATATCTTGTGAGGTTGTGAGAAATCTGCAGTCTCAGTCAGGGAAACTGAGTTTGATGGGGGGCAGGGGAGCTCACTGCTTTGTGCCCAGTCTCTGCAGATGTCTGGGCCCCCGAGCCTCTATCCCTCCATGCCTCGCCCCTTCTTAAGTTCAACAGCACATTCCTGCTGACCCTCCCTCTCACCAGACTTGAGTCAACTGGGAGGCAAGTTGGGCAGACAGAGCCCAAGAGACCGGGATTCTGTCCCACGTGACCATTGCTTGGCCATGTGGGGCGAGTCACCTTCCCTCTCTGGACCGTGGCTTCCTCATCCTTAGGGGAACTCTGTGATGTGGTTTCCAAGCTTCCTGTCCGCTCTGATGCTGCCAGGGAGCCTATCCAGTTGGCTCCACGTCTCCCCTGCTGGACTGGGCGCAAGGATGGCATCTGTGTCCCGAGCTCAAAGCAATGCCCCCTGGGAGGGCTCGGTAGCGGCCGCTGGCCAAGGTCAGAGGAGGGACCCCGGCGGCCTTCTGGCTGCAAAGCAGAGGGGCAGGCCAGGCCAGTTCTGGGGCCTGCGAGTCTCCCTCCTATAAATCACGCTTTCTCCTGAACTCCCAGAAGGTAGCTCAGGGAGTCGTCCAAACCGGCTCCAATGGGCTCCAGCTCCTACCTAGTGTACCCAGCTGAACAGTCCTTGGAGGAGTGGGGGGGGGGTAGTTCCACCTGGAGAAAAGTACCAAGATGCTGCCCACCGTCCTCCCCCAGTGTATATAGTGTGGTTTCCCAAGCAGACTGCTCCCATGAGTACCCTAATGGCCCACACACCCGCATCCCACCCCCCACCCCCCACTGGGTGGCAGGCAGAAGGGAAGCCAGAGGTGTTGACAAGTGGGCTGGCTTCATGTCTGAATTCCCCGGTGACCCCTTACCTCTGGTGACCCCTTACCTCTGCCGCGGCCACAGTGGGAACCTGGGCTAATCAGAGATGGGCCAGGGGTGGGGGGCGCTAGTGCACAGCTGCCCTGTGCCCACCCGATCAAGCCAGAGCCTCGGGCCTCACAGAGGCCAACCCCATTCAGGTCACTGTGAGACCAACACACACCGCGCCAAAGGGACAAGGGAAAACACCCGTGTCTTCTGGCCGGCCGTGGGGATGTGAGTAAATCAGGGGTTCCCGAGCCAAAGAGATTGTCTACCCCTCCGCTACCTTGTGCCAACGTGGCAGGTCTGCCCACGATTTATTTACATCTGCACGGACAGCAGCGACGGCCCTTAAAAGCTGCGGTCTCCCTGTGTTCCGCACAGATGCCTACATCATGTACCTCGCCTGAGGAGAGAGCTGCCAGAGGCCAAATCTGACAAATATAAACAGGAAGGGGTGAAGGTGCCAGAGCTGGAGTCAGCTCGCGTTGAGATCCAGCTATGATTTATGAGGAGATTATATTCTGGACCACTATCATTCTCTAATCTCTGCGAGTTCGCCACTCAAAACTATCATGTACCTATTAATAGATATTAATACCCTTTTCCTCCTGGGGCCCCTGGCTATGTCTCCTCAGTCTCCATACTCCATCCCCAAACGAAGAGCCTGCGAGCGGGCTAAACGGGTCCTCCCTGGCAGGAGAAAAGATCTTTCCTAAAAGGGGGCTGGGACGGTTCTCCAAGTCCCTCCAACCCTCCCCAGCCCCGAGTGTGGAGCTGCGGGGAAGACAGTGGGCACTGAGGAGATAGAGCGCAGAGGAGACCAGCGGGAAATGGGCCAGGAGGAAGGGGAGCCCCCGGCCGCCCCCGCGCACCCCCCTCCGCCCCCTCCAATTGGTGCATCCCTGATGCCTGGGCAACAAGCTTCTAAGTTGCAAACAGCTCTGGGTAGGGGGAGAAACCACCGTCCGGACAGTCACAAGTGCAGCCCGCCTGGCATCCCCTCTGCCCGGGGCACAGACCCCCTCCCCCAAGCAAGCCTAAACCTCGGAACTCGGGACACCACTGCCGCAGCCCCAAGATGCAGCTCCAGAAGCCTGGAGCTGAAGACGCCTGAGACAGCAAAGAACTAATCACCCGGCTGGCGGCGGCTGGGGCGGGGGACGCGCACGGTCCCCAGAGAGCACAGCCGTCCGAGCCCGGCGGCCGGCACAAGAAACTGGTGGCGGCGCTGCTCCTTCCGTGCCGCGCTCCAAAGCCCACCCGGCCCACGGCACTTCTCTTCTAAGTGTCCCCTCCCCTGGGGGAAGAGGGTGGAGAAAGAGAAGGGATCAAACTGGGGCTGCCTTACCCAAAAGCCCAGCGCCCAGCCATCTCGCCGGGGATGCGCCTCGGTCCCCGGCCCCGGGCATCGTTCTGTGGTCTCCGGAGCGCGCCAGGGGCGCGGGGACGGGCTCCAGGGCACCGCCGCTCGCAGCCCGCGGTCTGCAGTGGCCGCCGAGCCGCCGCGAGCTCCGCGCCGCCGGTCGGGCCTCGGGAAAGTTAGCAGGGAGCGCGCAAGGGCGGGGGGAGGGAGGGGGAGGAGGGGCCGGCTGCCGGAGCGGCTGCTGAGGGCACCGGGAGGAGAGGGAGGAGCAAGGACGTGCGGGAGGACCGCCGAGCGAGCGCAGAGGAGAGCCGCGCTGCGCCTCGGCTCTGGACGCGCTCCAGCCGCAGGAGGGGCGGTGGCCGCCGCGGAACCCGGGGCGCCCTCGCCCGCTGCGCACCCTGCCCCGCCTCGTGCGCCGGGCACCCCACTCCCTCCCCAGCTCGGGCTGGGCGGCTGCGGCTTGGCACTGCAGGGCACCCCCCCCCCGCAGCCGCCCGCATCATCCCATGCGCCGAGCTGCCAATCAGGATAGTTTGGGGGGCGGGGGGGTAGAAGTGGAGCTGTCGGGGAGTTGGAAAGCTGTGTGGCCCCGCTTCGGGGACCGCGAGGAGGGTAGCGGCTCCCTCTCCCGGGGCCGCAAACGGACTACTCGAATGTCCGCAGCCGGCACTGCCGCAGCCCGGCGAGTGTGAGCGCGGGCTTGCCCGCTGCGGACCCCTGCGCCCGCGGCCCGCCGCCTGCGCCCCGGCGGCTCAGGACTCCGAGAACAGCGCCTCCAGTTGCAAACGGCCCCCGCCCACCGCCCACAGACCTCTCCCATTTCTTCGTGGACTCCTTGGAAGTCGTGATGCTCCTGGCTGGGGAATCAGGCCAGACACTGCCTATGTGCGCCCGGCTACACCCTACCACCGCGACACCTACTTCTCATTTTTCCCACCTAGGCTGCCTCCCCTCCACCCCCGATTCTGCGCTTTCACCCTCCTCCGAGGGATTTCCCGAGTCTCCCTTTTAGGGTGGGGGGTGAAGGAGCCCAGGGCAGGCCTCCCGGCTCAGGGTTACAGCCAGGGCAGAGGGCTGAGGTGCGACGGCTAACCAGCAAGGCTTTATCCAACCTGGAGGGACAAGTGAGTAGTGCTATTGGGGTGGCTTGCTGAGGAAGGTCCGGGGCCCTCAGCAGCAGCCCCTTGCCCACCACCCAGACCCCCTCGCTCCCCCACCGAGCCTGTCTGCAGCCCTGACCCTCCAGTCATTGCAGGTGTGGAGACTGGTTCGGATTTGGAAACTTGCTCCCATTTTGCAGCCCCATCAGCGCCCCTGCCTTCTTAACAGGGGTGGGGGAGGGCTGGCGGGCTTTAAAGAGATCCTGGACCCCTTGAGGCTGTCTGGAAAATCCTAAATGTCTGTTTTCCCAGGAGAGAGGTCCGCTGGCTTTCGTCAGCCTCGCTGTGACAGTGGTATAGTGTCCCTGGAGTTAGGCGCTGGGGAGTCCGATCGCAGCTCCAGCACGCATTGCTGCACGACCTTGAGCCAGTTATGCAATCTCCTGCAGAAGCCTCATCTGTACCTTGTGAAAGTAACGGTAGTTACCTCCTGGGATCGTTGACAGCAGTGCCACCCTGAGACTGAGCCACAGGGAGGGGCCTCGGGGCCTCACTCTGGGCCTTCTCTGGCCATAATCTGCTCACTGGGAGAGGGGCTTGCGGGTCAGAAAGGACAGTGGTCCACGTACCTCCTCTTCTAGACCGTGCTCCGAGTACCCAGGATCCTAGAATTCCCTGCTCAGATGACTTAACCCCGAGCCAGCCTCGTCCCCAAGCACATGCCCTCAGGAGCTGACCAAGCCGGATGCACCGGCGGGCCCAGAGAGTGGCCAAGGGTCAGCTATTTGCAGGCGCTGGGGAGGGGACAGAATTTGACACGCAGGGTGGACTGTCCTGAGGCATGCATGAGAGCCCTAGGGCCTGAGAAGACAGGACCGGGGAAGACTTTTTGGACCTGGCCCTCGAATTAAGGCCAAGGAAAATCAATCCAGTCGGAGGATAATAGATAAACTTTAACACTTTGTCATCTTGGCTTCTAACTTCTGGTTAGGCAGAGACATAATTTCTAGTACGCACACTTGCTCCGGGCCTTACAAAAAGTGCTTAGCACAGCGCTAGACAGAGGGTAAGCACGTGGTACATTTTACTTCTTATTATTCTCAAAGAGGTCTGTGACCCAAAAATGCTAAGGCTCTTCCCATCTCCAGGCTCACCCTTCTTCCCCGCCCGGAGATCCTGGACACTCAGGGCCCGGCATCAAAGCTGCCTCCACTTTATTTTTACAGCAGGGGTCATGTTTCTAAGAACGGGAGGCTGAGGTGAGAGGAGGTGAGCCAAAGGGAAGGAAAGTGACCCCTGCCCAGAGAAGGGGGAGGGGAGGAGAGAGAGCTCTCTGGATATCTTTAGATCCTGGCAGCAAGAAAAGGGGCCAGTGTCCCCGGTGCCGTCCACGGGTCCCGGCTGCCTCACTGCTCACCATTTGTAACAGCCCAGAGGATTCTTAGGAGACACACACATTTCACAGATGAAGAAACGGGCCCAGAGAGGTAGAATGTGGAGCCCAAGGACAGAGAAAGCGAGTCTTAAAGCCGAGGATTAGAACCTCCCCCACTGTGTGATTCCCTCTGTCCACGCCCCCCAGCTTTCCTTTAAAGAACGTCAGGAGGGTTCCACACACGGGCTCAAGAAATGCATTAGTGGCTAGGAGATTTCTACATTTATAGTGCACTTACCCCAACAATTCTCAAAACTTTAGACCATTGACCCAGCTTGGAGGATCCTCCTGAGCAATGCTAGGGGAGAGAATGACCCTTTGAAGTCTGTCTCCTTGAGGAGCCCTCCCAGATTTAGCCTCCTTTGCCCCCGTGCAGGAGCCCCCAGTCTCTGGGTGGGGGTGCGAAGGAGTGTGCGGCACTTGGCTCTTCTCCCTCCTTCTGCGGGAATTCCCTGGAGGGCGGGGGTGGTGTCTTGGACGTAGCCCCCAGCGGCGCCCTGGAGGCTAGATCCTTGGTGGTGGGTACGGCACCCTCAGGGCTTGGGCAGCCTGGCTCAGAAATACCTTGAAGGGCAAGTTTTCAGGGATGCAGAGAGGGAGTAGGCCCCTGAAATGTCATGGCGCTGTCACTTCTCTGATGGGGGGAGGGAGATAGGGCCCAGATTTAAGGGGAAGGAAGGTGTCTCCTGGGAAGGGGTCACGTAGGTTCTTTGAAACAGTTAGTACAGGTGACCTATGGGTTCCTGCCCTCCGGGGAGCTGGAGCGGAGCCAGGAGGGAGAGCATAGGGAGGGTCGGTGTGTGGCTGGGGAAACGGGAGCCCCCAGCAGTTCTGGGAGCAGAGCGACAGCTGCCGGTGCCCAGGAAATGCTCTCCCAAAGGAAGGCACTCACTCCAGGGACAGTCCCGGTTTCTACCAAGGCAGCTAGATGGGAGGCTCCATCGCTTGGTAGTTCTCCGAAAGGCAGACAGACCCCAGCAGGGGAGGAAGGGAAAGGGACGCTCCTATGAGGTCTCCGGGGCTATTTTAAGAGGAGTTCCTCCTAAGTAGCAGGAGCCTGGCAGGGAGCCTCCCCCCCTCCTGCACCCCCCGCCGCCCCCCCCCCCGCTGGCTCCCCCATGCCCTTGCCCCAAGGCCCCTCTCCCCCTCCTCCCCTACAACCTCCCTGGCCCTGGCCCTGGCCTGGCCTTGCAGAAAACTGAGCCCACTGTCAGACTCAGACCCAGCCCGGCTCTGAGAGATAGAGACCACGGGGCTCTGCGGGGAGCCCCCCTCCCAGCCTGGGATCTACCCCCTCAGAGGTTGCTTCTATCACCACCTTTTCAGAGCCGCTGCCACCCTCCCCCCCTCCCCGGCTTTGCTTATAAACAGAGCCCCAATCTCAGGACAGCAGAACCGCAGGGGCCTGAGATTCTCAGCCTGCATTAATTTAAAGTTAAATGCCCTCAAACCGTTCTGCCTCTCCGGTGGGGGCTGGGTGGATGCCATCCGCACAAACTTTTGGGAGCCTCCTTCCTCGTGCACCTAGATCTGCTCCCTGCCCATCCATCCTCGCCATTCCCTCCCTCCCTCCAGCTCGGAGCGCCCGCTCAGCCACCCCCAGCCACAGTGTCCGCACCCGCTGAAGTTTGGCAGGTGCCGAGAGGGTTAACAGGACAGCATGCACCACACCAGCCCGCAGGCACGTGGTCTCAAAGCCCCACCGGGAGCCGGTACTGGCCACCACCGGGCGCGGGCGCCGTGGCTCCCCAGCCCACCTCGCATTTACGGACGTGGAGTAAAGATCAGCTCTTCCTGAACCCTCCCCAGCCACCTCCACTTTCCACGGGCTCTGGGCACAGGCAGCCTGGCAGCCGGCGCCTCCATCCCACCCATCACCCTCTTTCTGTTTTCTTCCACGTTCTCTCCAAACATCCTTTCGGGCAAAGGGGGTGGGGAGCCCCAGACAGATGAGCTCACTGGGAGGAGGAGGGCAGAGGGAGGAGGGAGCTGAACCGTCCTGACCAGAGAGGTGCTCACCGGGCAGTCCCAAGCTGGAGAGGGGCATGTGTGGCCACTTCCAGGAGCGGGCATCAGCTTCCTGCAGCAGCTCAGACGTGGGGTGAGTCCTGGGCATCTCTTTTTTCTGGGCCACGCGAGGGTGGGGTGTGAAGCCCCAGGGCAGGGTCTCAGAACCCCACCCAGCACCCCAGAGGTTGTTTACTCACTGCTTCCTGGGTTGCCATGACCCCTGCCCTCTGGGCAAGGGAGCGCAGGGACTCAGGAGGGCTGGGGGCTGGAGGTATTGGGAAGGCTCGTCATTCACTGTAGCCTGGCTGCCCGTGGGACTACCTTGTCAGCTGGACGGCCACATGTCCTCCTGGCCCCTAGACCCGGTTCCACCCTGAACGGGGCGCTGAGATAGACTGACCAAAACAGAAGTGTAAAGTGGCGTGGAGCCCCAGGCGGACTCCCTGAGTGTTCTGATGCGGCCCCCTTTGAATACTGTAGTGCTTTCTCAAGGGGAGGGCTTCGCAAGGGGTGGGCCAGGAGCATGTGGGTGGAGGGGAGATACGGGTGGGAGAGATGGAGAGG